TGTGCTGGGGGCCCCAGAGCTGGATACAGAATCACTCCCCTCAACCTACTGGCCACGCTGCTTTTGAAGGCCCTTCTGGGCTGTGAGAGTGCATTGCTGGCTTACGACAGTTTTTCATCCACCAGACCACCAAGTCCTTCTCCACAGGGCTATTCCTTCATCCCCCTGCCTTTATTGATACTGGGGGTTGCCCCGACCCAGGTGCAGGACCTTGGACGTGGTGTTGTTGAACTTCATGAGGTTTGCACAGGCCCACCTCTCCAGCCTGTCCAGGTCCCTCTGGATGGCCTCCCTTCCCTCCAGCATGTTGCCCGCATCACACAGCTTTGTGTCATCAGCAAACTTGCTGAGAGTGCGCTCGATCCCGCTGTCTGTGTCATTGGTGAAGATATTAAATAGTACTGGTCCCAATACAGACGCCTGAGGGACATGACTTGTTACTGGTTTCTGTTTGGGACATTGAGCTGTTGACTGCAACTCTTTGGATGCAGCCATCCAGCCAATTCCTTATCCGTCTAACAGTCCATCAAACCTGTATCTCTCTAGTCCTTCACCTTTTCCATGTATTGTGTCTTCTGCCCTGTCGGCTCTGTAGCTCATTGGAGCTTTTCATAGGCCAATTTAACTCAAGTAGCAGAAAAGCTTGTGCTTTACCGAGGTTTCTGCTGTTTTATGAGTTCAGTCAGCTTGTGGAAAATCGGATGAGGATGTGAACGGTCAGGGAACGTATGGGGAGAGAAAGGAGAAAAGAGAAGAGACACCTCCCTGTTCTGCAGCAGCAAGCCGTTAGATCAACTGATTACTCAAGGAAGCGTAATCATAGCCTTAATAGTTACCAGGTCCGTAGCGTATCTTGCATTACATTTTTCAAGTATCCAGGATAAAAGAAGGAAAGTAGCATAAATGGTTTAAAACGTGACCCAGTAAGCTTGAAAGCGCGTTCCTGTGTACTTTCTCATCTGTAATGCGGCTATTGCGTGTTGCTACAATGGGTTGTTTCAGTAGTGATACAGCAGTCTTTTAATTGGCTGTTTTTCTTGGCAGCTGTTGATCTGATGCCTAATTTTTGTACATTGTGCGAAGATCACTAATAACTTGCTGTTATGTTACAAATACTGAAAAGTACAGGCAGGCCCCTTGGTGCCACTTTGTACGAGGCATCTGGTCCTGGCAGACCCATTTTATTTGCTTGTTGTGTTTATGTCTGAAAAGGACAATTAATTTTTTTAATGTTTATTATATTCATAAGTGCCATAAAAGCCTTGGACTCCAGTAGTATAGTACTATTCCTGGGTGGTTATTGTTGGGGGAGGTATTGTACATCTCAGAACAGTATTTCATCTTTAAAATGGAGAGCAGAAGTAACAGAACATAACTGAAAAAAATACTTGCTTTGTTTTGAGAGGGGTGACAGGAAAACCAGGGACTTGAAAAGTCATAAATATCTTTTATAAAAGCAAGGCATGCTTAAGGAATAACCTGCACCTTGTTAGTGCTACTAACCTTTTTGAGCGTGTGTTGCATTTATGTGGTGAGAAATTGCCTAGCGTTCCAGTCATGTGATGTGTGTAATTTATTTACTCTGGACAGCTGAGACTGCTTCAGGCCAAGGAATTGACTAAAAGTCCCCTGAACAAGTTAGAGATGTTTTCTTACTAGCTGTAGCATGGAGAGTAAAGTTGTTATGTGTTTTAATGTGGTTGATATCTGCACAGGTTGTAATTGTATTAAAAAAACCAACAACAAATCAAGTTCCTGGCTAGACTAAATATATGATAATAGAGTTGAGTCACAGTGTAATAGTGCTGTTGCCACTGTGTGAAAAATCTGAGAGCTTGCCTTTCCTTTATAGTCCAACAAGCTTGTATGCTTTGAACTTATTCTCTAATTTTTACCTTGAGCAAGCCTGCAACCATGCTTTTTCTTGTACACCTTCCACGTCATCTTTGAAAATTAAATATGTGCTCTAAGGCACATGGGTTGATATTTTTGTGTTCTTACCTTGCATCGCAGCCATGAGTTTTATAAGTAAGTCAGGGTATACTGGCTTCCCATGGTGCAGCCCAGTAATTCTGAAAAGTGCTGCTGAACACACTGAAAGCGTCAATAGGACACGCTGACATCTCATTCTGACCCTCTCTTAAGTTGCTATTGGGGACTGATTTGAAATGAGCTGTTACATGTTCCTACTGTGCTTTTTTGATTCATTCTCTGTTGGTTTTTAGCATTCTCTCCAGTTCTGTAAGGTCTTTCCTTGCCCAATATTATTGGGTTTGGGTTGAACTGATATTTACACAGGTCTCCAAGAAAGCCTTGGGAAATTTATTTTTTCAAAAGGAACTGTAATTTGAGTTAGTGCTGTAGTGTAAGAAAGGGTTGAAAGGACATCATGGTGTGGGAGAGGGTGTTACTCTCTAGAAGTAATGAAAAGGAAAGATACTACCCTGATGACTTTGCAATTCAACTTACCTTAACTTCCTCCTGCATCTTAAAGAGTTGTGTATTTATTCTAGTTAGCTCCGTTTGAAGTCAGCAGGAGCAGAATTGGGTCCCTGCAGTTCTAAACCTCTGTGGTTTTGTGGCTGATTGAAGGTGTAGTTAGCCTCAGTGCTGGTGAAGGGATGGACTTAAGGAGCTGCCTTCTGATGTGCACCTGGTTCATACTGAAGTTGTCCTCCACAGATGTGTCTGTCCGTATGTGTGATAGGTGAGAAAGGCAAAATTTGGCCCTGAATTTGAGAAATCATTTGAAATAGAATATTCAGTGTCACCTGTAAAATAGTTATATAGCAATGATAACTGTGGGAGAGCTTTAGTTTCCTAGGAAATCTGTAACATTGTTAAAATAACATTAGTAGGAGTTTCCAAAAAGTGACAGTAACAGCAGGATGACCTTCTGTTAAAAATAGTTACATTTGCAGGACAAACTTTTATTCATTTGTTATGCAACAAATTCGCGGTTTTGAAAGATGCGACAGTGGAGTTTGGTTGGTTGGTTGGTTGAGTGTTTTAATGTTCCTCAGCAGCTGTCTATAACGGATCTTACTGTAGCCATTTTTAAAGAAGTTCGTTCTTTCTGAGGGTTAGATGCAGTAAGCTGAGACGCCCAGACAAGACATCTACATTTCTGCAAAGTATAGTGCACTTGGAAAATATGTGAGACCTTGTAGAGTGCTTCTAAGGAATTCCTTCTAAAGAATAGATAAGCTTGCAAATTCAGGGCCTAAAGCTGTTAAATCTATTATGTGAGTTAATTTAAAGTTTTGAGTTCATGATCTGCACTAGAAAATAAGTATTTTCAGTTAAGAAAGTACTCTTCTGAATTAATTTCCACAGAATATACAGGCTGCATTATTGTTGGTATATTTTTTTTCCCCCAAATTTAATCTAATTTTTCTTTAATTCTTTTATCCACTTCTTATTTTTCAGGAGTCTTTGAAAATCCTTAGTGGTCATGACATTGTTACAAGTGACATAAGTTAGCCAGTGACTCAGAATGATGGATACCCAGAAGACTACAAATGGTTTGCAAGTGATTGGAGAAGGGACTGGTATAGGGAAATCGACACTCCCCATGGTGGGGTATTTGGGAAAAGTCAGTTGAAACTTGTTTTACATGTGTGCAAAGTTCATATTTTTCTCTGCTTTGAGACATTTTTAATTGGTCTTAATTTTACCAAAAAAATTCTCAAAATTATTTTCCACGGAAATCTATAACAATGGCGAAAGATTATTCTAAGTAAATATGTGCCTGTGTTTTTTTTACTGGCACTATTTTTACAACTGTTTGCATTCCTATGAAAATTGATTTGTCCTTTGAAGATCTGAGCTTGTGTTCCCTGGCATTGTGTCCTGTGGTTTGGTTCAAGTGGAATGAAATTTTGCATAATTGTGTTGTTAAACATACCTTATTAAATATTTGAATATTTAAATCAAAAGATAAATTTATTTAGAACACTCTACCTTATAAATATATGTCTTAATAAATATTAAAAAAAAAGTCCAGTTTACTTTTTTATATTGTCTTAGGTATTATATTTAGAAGTTGCACGTTGTTTTTCTATTTTGGTATGTATGTATGTCTTACCTTGGGATAATACATGAAATACATAAATTTATGCTGCTTTTCCTTTTTTTTTTTTTTTTTTTTTGGTTTTAGAACTGTAATCCTGTGGAAACAACTGCACATGAGTATTGTCCAGTCTGCAAAGAGAAGGGCCAGATCCAGGTTTTACGAACTTACCGCATTAATTTTGAAGAGTCTATTTTTCTTTGTGAAAATCCTCAGGTATTACACTAACGGTTTTGTTTGGTTGTGCGGAGGCCTTCACCTCCAGCAGTTACACCTTTTTAAGTTCTAGCTTTTGTTGGTGGTAAGCAGGCTGTTGAAACAGAGCCCCTTTGAGTCCATGTGCTGGATGATGTTTGCCTGTATATAGACAAAAACATAACTAGCCTGTGTGCGTGCAGTGTTTCGGCATAGTTAGCTACCCTAAAGAATTAAAGAGAGTAGATTAAAATGAACAAAGGAGAGTTTCACTTACATAACAAGGGAACACAAGTGGTACTAAATAAATCTTTGTACTAATGAGAGTACAAGGTGAAATTTGATGATCCATGTAACTAATACATGACTCTTGCAGGTGTGAGCATTCCATTTTCTCTTCTTTAAGTCTGGGTAATGCAAAGAGATTTGTAATTACCATGACAATGTTTTTCTTTTTTTTTCTTTTTTTTTTTTTTTTCCCCGCTTAGTAAGTTTAACCTTAGCTGGATTTCTGTGCCGAGTTGTGATTTTGCTGCCTCTCCCTTCTCCACTGCTCCATGCATATGGGGAGGGTATAGCAGTGGACTGGTGCCCTTGAATTAGTAGAGACTAGACTAGGTATGGGTCTTCGAGTTTTTTCCCATGCCTCCCTGGTTTTAAATAATCATAGTACCCTTCTGGAGATTTGTAATAGTGATTTTACTATATTCTGGTTGCAGAATAGCTGTGTATGTAAGACCCTACCAACACCCGGTCTAATGCATCTGGCTGGCCTGAAAGATAACCTGCCAATTTTGGCACTAGTAGTCTCTCAGGCATGAGATGGTAATGCCAAATCTGTACCTTAAAAGAGTGGATTTAGCAGAATAAGAGAAGAGGACTCTCCTTAGCAAAATTAGGTTGTTTTCAGGGGTTGGAAGCATTTACTAAAAAGAAGCATTGATTATCACTACTAATGTATTTGCTTCACAATTGGTTATAAGACAGTGGTTGGATAAAACCACCCTTCTTGACATACATATGTTGAATTTATGTGTTGATTTCATTAAAATACCACTTTACGGAAGTCCTACATTCCATTTTAAGAGTATGGTTTTTACTTTTTTTAGCTCTTGTTCATCCAAAATTGCTCTGTAAATTTCACTGTAACTTTCTTTCTTTCCTTTAGTGTATCTACCCACTTGGTTATAAACCATTAAACAGCATAATTACATCTGCTGGTTCAGAAAACCATCAAGTTCCATCTACTCATAAGAAAAGGAAATTCTGTGATATCAGTGACTCTTCTTCTGTTGAATCACATCCAAAAAAAGCAAGAACTAGTGATGTGGTAAATGTTGATCATGCTGTTAATACAGACCCTGTTGTCAAATGCTATCAGAATAGCTTGTGTCTTCCGAAGTCAAGTCTACATGATGTGTTACAAAATGACCAGGAAAAACCTAGTAACAAAGTGGAGTCCTGCATGCAGAAGGTGGACTTTGAAACAACTGCCAACACCAACAACTGTCAAGAAAGTCCACCTAAGACATCTAGTCCCAGAACACAACTCTTGCCAAATTCTGAACTTTGCTCAACAGCATCTGAAGTTTTGCTCAGAGATGATAAAGTTTCCACTAATAACACAGATTTATGTCTTCAGTGGAGAAATGTGCATAATCTTTGTTGGTTAGATTGTATTTTGTCAGCACTGGTACACTTAGAAACATTAAAATTTGCTCTAGCAGAAGAATATAATGATGGAAAATGCTTACTGTGGAAACTCTTAAAGAAATATAATCAAGCAACTGCGCTTCTGAGTACCTGTAAAAGGAGTAAAGTAAAAGGTGAGTAAATTTAGCTGCTGTTTCTTCATATTCAGACTAATCTGATCTGCTACAAATATGTGGGATTCAGTACAGTGCACTTCAGCGTGCCTCCATTCTATTTCAAGATCACAAAAGAGTAAGTTACAGCTCATTACCATGAATTTGCAGAGTAGTGTGCTTTATCTAACAGAATCCTGGTAACCACTGAAATGGTTTTTCTTGGGCCAAACATGAACGCCTTGAAAGCATTAAATGCTAAGCATCTCTTGAATTTTTTTGTCGTATCCCACATAGAGAATTTCAGAATTGTTTGTGTAATTGAGCCTCACTTTGTTTCCTTCCCCTCTGTTGGTTAACATACTAGGCTGTTGTTCTAATCTTAACCTTAAAAATAATTTATGTTGTGGTTTATATCCTTGTATAAATGGGCAGTTGCCTTGTCACACCAAAGTAGTAAAGCTGGGAACATATGTTCTCTTCTGGCTCCAGCTGCACTCATTGAAGGAATGCTTCTCCTGAGGTCTGCAAGCTGTGCTGTGGATGATGGTGCTTCCTAACCTGTTTGAGTCAAAATTAGTCAAACACATTAACCTGGTTCGTATTGTCTGGAAAGGGTTAGTGAGTACTCACATGTGCAGCTTAACAGGTTCAAGGACTGTAACCTCCAAGCACAAGGGCAGTGATGGGCAGTTGGGGGCAACATTCCAGGCAGCACAGCTGGAGCCAGAGGAGGAAGTGTCACTGTAATCTGCTAGTATGGCATTTGATCATCTTCTGTACTGTGTATTCAGTTTAAGACTCTTAAACTAAGGTCTGTTTTTTCTGAGGAGAAGGGCTTGGGGGTGTTGGTTGGCGAGAAGCTCAACGTGATCCCACAATGTGCTCTCGGAGTCCAGAAAGCCAACTGTATCCTGAGCTGCATCAAAAGAAGCGTGGCCAATAGGTTGAGGGGGGTGATTCTCCCCCTCTGCCCTTCTCTGATGAGACTTCACCTGTGTACTGTGTCCAGCTCTGGGGCCCTCAGCACAAGAAGGACATGGACCTGTTGGGCCAAGTCCAGAGGAGGGCCACAAAGGTGATCAGGGGGCTGGAGCACCTCCCCTATGAGGACAGACAGAGAGTTGGGGTTGTTCAGCCTGGAGAAGACAAGGCTCTGGGGAGATCTTATAGCGGCCTCCCAGTACTTAAAGGGGGCCTATAGGAAAGGTGAGGAGGGACTCTTTATTAGGGTGTAGTGATAGGACGAGGGGTAATGGCTTTAAACTGAAAGAGGGGAGATTTAGGTTAGATGCAAGGAAGAAATTCTTCTAAGGGTGGTGAGACACTGGCACTGGTTGCCCAGAGAAGCTGTGGCTGTCCCCTCCCTGGCAGTGTTCAAGGCCAGGCTGGATGGGGCTTTGAGCAACCTGGACTGGTGGAAGGTGTCCCTGCCCATGGCAGGGGGATTGGAACTAGATGGTCTTTAAGGTCCCTTCCAACCCAAAGCATTCTGTGATTAGTCTATGAATAGTTCTAATTCTCAGGGAAAATGCAGGTCTGAAGTCAAAATGAGAAGAGGCAATAAACAGTCATCTCTACCGCATAACAGTGTAACCATCACAAAATGTTACTCTTGAACTGACCCATTGATGTCCTAAGTTTAGGCTTCTAAGAGATCATCTGCTAGAGAATTAATACAGACCTCTGGTTAGCCAGTACCTTCCATAAATTTTTTTTCAACATACATTTGAGGAAAAGGGATGTTTTTGAGGAAAAACTTCTTTACATTGAGGGTGACAGAGCACTGGAACAGGCTGCCCAGGGAGGTTGTGGATTCTCCTTCCCTGGAGATATTCAAAACCCACCTGGACGCGATCCTGTGCGACCTGCTCCAGGTGAACCTGTTTCAGCAGGGGGGTTAGACTAGATGATCTCCAGAGGTCCCTTCCAACTCCTACCATTCTATGAAAAGTGTGTGTTTGAATATATAGACTATAGACTCAGAAGAGCATTATATAACTTGAAGAATGTCATATATTTCCTAGGAAAAGTAATAGGTCTATCAAAAATGGTTTAATCCACCCTGTGGCAGCGAAAACATGCTATTTTACAGAGGAAAAAAAATATTCCGAAAAGATTCTGAAGTAGTTCGTACACTCTGCTTGCCAGAAAGTCAAGCTGCTTGATTTTAGGTTTTCATCTATTACCTGGAAGCCTTCTGCCACCACAGAACCTATCTGAGATGTTTTTCTTTCCCATCTGTTGTGCTGTGTTTGCAAAGGAGCTCTGGTGTGCAAGAACCCTCAAATGTGGATGTTAGCTGTTGAAATACAGTGTAGTTTGAGATAACCTAAACCTTTTCATTTCCAGGAATTGCTGCAAAACAAATTAGTTTATTTGGGCTATGGTGGAGAGGGGATTGCATGAAGAGTATTGTTGTGGAGAATAGGTGTAGTATTTATTCTACTCCCCTGTTATTTTTCAGCATCTTTTACATACCATTGTTTTTAGAAACAATCAAAAGCAATTGAGCTGCAGGAAACTTCGTTTTACCTTTTTTATATACATAAATTTTATAAGTGATAAATAGTTTCAACAGCTGTTCTAAATCCTTCCTTTAATTTGTGCAGGTTATGATCATAATTGTATAGTAGAAGTTATGTTCTTGCTTGTGCTTAAAGAATGTGTTTTTGCAGAAACAAGTAACTTGCAAATTTAAAATACATATAAAGATATATAAAGTACACTTTTAAAAATTATTTCTAGTATTTTAAAGGCTGATTTAGGAAATTGGGATTTAATCTGGAACATCACCTTTAAATGTTTTATTATGGATTGTATGACATAATTGGAAAGCATGTAAGTAAAGTTTTTGCACTTTTAAGAGTAGATTTTAAAATCTATTCTTAATCTCCAAATCTCCAGGGTTTGTAATGTCTGATTGCACTATCCTTAAATGTTGTTGCTGTCTAACTGCTGGTACATGCTCTTAGCCATAATCTGTCAGGTCAAGTAATTTCTGGTTAGCAGACTGCAGTAAAATGTGTATAACTTGTGTAAATTCTTCTCTGATTTTCAAATCAATGAATACCAAGCATTGGCCATTTTACCAGCACTTTTTAGGCAAGTATGGGTCAACATGAGGCATCAGTTTGCAGAAAACAGGGGTACACGTGTATGTGAAAGGGTGGGGTGTTGTACATGAAGACGTATGTGGTTTTTTTCTTTAGATGTTCTTCCAAAAGCAGAATCTCATCTCAATGAAATCAGAAACAGAATGTTTACACAGCTTCAGCCTCAGCTTAGATGTGACTGGGGTAAGTAATTAGCACAGCATCTTGGTATTTGCTTTCAGAAAACTCTACCTGTAAAGCCTTGTATGTCAGTACATAAAAATACCTATGTGCATAGGCATACAAGACAGTTTGCAAATACATTTGTTTTTATTGGTGACATACACATACTTTATAGTGTGATCAGCTGATTTGTCCCTTGACTGCTTTTGACTTTTTAGAGAGCATGTTCTCGTCTTTGTAACTATGCCATAGTCATGAAATTGTCGTTGATAACAACCCAATGACATGGATCGTTCCCTCTGCTGTGAGGATTAGAAATAAAGCCATAGAAATAAGCTTATCTTCTTCCTTTTCGAAGTACTGAAAGCTGACTTCAAATATTCAGTGACTGTTTTTTCTGCCCCGTCTTTGAAGGTAAAGAGGAGAGTCCAGTGTTTGCACTCCCTTTACTCTTAAAACTGGATCAACAAGCAGAGAAACTATTCTTGCATTCATTCGTATGGAAGTTTGAATGTGTATGTTGTGGCAACAAATACCAGGACCGGTGAGATTTTTATTTAAGTAGCTTCTTTATAACTGTTCTAACTTACCTTTTTAAATCTGCATATAATAGTTGATTTTCTTCAGGTCTCAAAGTTTTGTACAGCTTAAGCTTGTTGGTGAAGTTTTACATGATCCACTCTTTTAAGCTAGTGTTTGCAAGTAGTTTACTGCTATGTTGTGTCTTAGGAAACCATGTTATTAGTTAGGAAAGAAGTAATAGGTAATTGTGTGAGTCCCTGGCCATGCTCACTCTGATATTTTATTCAAAGTATACAAATTGTTGTGGTTCTAAAGAATATATGCCTAGTACTCTTTGTACTTCAACTTTGCTGTTGAAGAATATCTGTAATATTCTTTTGGATTACAAAGAATTAGACATTCTCTCACATAATTTATCTATTTTAAAATAATATTACAGGGAAGTAATTTCTTGAGAATCGATTTAGTTCTGTGTAGCTGCAGGTACAAGCTAGTAATTTAGGCTCCTTTTAGAGTCAGCAGAAAAAGAGAGACACCTTCAGAAGACAGCACACTTTACTTGACAAGTACCTGTTTCTCTCCCCTATCTTAGGTTTATACAACACAATTCTAGATCCCAAAGTGAGATGAGAGTAACGCTATCTGTTACACTGCCAGCTAATGTGTAGTCCTGGTTAATACGATGTCTTCAAAAGCTTTTGTGACATACTGTGTTTTTTTAAAAAGTTGAAAAGTTTAGGTTAGGTTGACTATATAAAAGAAGTCCTTTCTGTGGCTAACGAATGAATATACTGCATTATTTCACTTTAATATCCCGTACATTGTATTTTCATACAATATAACCTCTGTATCATCTCTGCTCTGAATGTACTCTTTTTTTTGAAAACAAGACCTTGTATAACGTGGATTTTGAGGTAATTTGTTACTGCTTCCTTCTCCTTGAGATTCCATATTAGCTAATAAATTATGTGGATCCTGGTACAAGCTCTGTCTTATGTTGGAGAGGAAACGAGATAACACACGAAGGGAGAAAGAGCAAATAATGTGAAACTGAAGGCCACAGAGCTGCTGAAAGCAAATGGTGACTGATACTGTTTGGCAGAACTGAATTCAGTGCTGACTTGGATGAGATGCAGTCACACTGGAATTCACACAAATGGCATGAATATGAATAGAATTTGGCTTTGTTACAACGTTTTTATAACTTTTTTTCTCCTGGTAAAGTGTGTATATTTATTTACTGTTTTCTGATCAACAGCTCAACTTACTATTTTTTGGTTTTTTGTTGTTTGTTTATTTTTTGTGTGTGTGTGTCCAGGTGTAGGAAAACACTAACAACATTCACAAATATAATCCCTGATTGGCATCCACTTAATGCTATTCATGTTGGGCCGTGTAATAGCTGTAGTGATACATCTCAAAGACGACAGATGATTTTGGAAAAGTAAGTTTGAATAAGAGAGCTTCAAAATAAAATACATACAGTTCTGAAACTTCATTTATTGAACTTATCACTTGCAAAACCAAATTGTTATCTTGGGTTTACAGAGATTCTAAAGTTTTAAAGACTTTTAGTTCATTCTTAAATGCTGAAATGGCAAATAGTGTTTAGTAAACATGAAACATAGAGCAGTGTTTAACATGCTGACCAGCACATGTGTTTGAGCCAGGTCATAAATATGTAATACTAAGTAGTAAATACAGACAACTGATATCCAGTGTCAGCCTTTTCACAACCCCTGCCGTTGGTGGATAACATTGTTGTTTGATCACATGTTTACTAGCTTGACTTGAGAACAATGTCCTTTCTTACTGTGGTTATGGCACAGTGGTCTTCTGGTTTTTTCCCACCTTTTCCCCACTCCCAGAATCGCATATGTGGTGGTGCTTTTTTCCCCCTAATCTGTAACAAATTGGAATATCTAGTTGGGGTATTCTTATCTCTTCAGATTGTAGAGTAGTCAAGAGTCCTGTGTGGAAGTAGACTAGTAAGGGTAGAACTACATACTCTTTGAGATGCCTCACTTTTTCATTAGGAACCTTTGCCACTATTTTGTTGTAATAAACTGGTTCTTTATTGTTTCTTTGTTAGAGTATCCTCAGTATTAGCGTTACATTTTGTAGAAGGCTTGCCACATAACAACCTGAAGAGCTATTCATTTCAGTTTGAAGACGACACCTACCAAATAACATCTATTGTTCAGTATCAGACAGATAAGAAGCACTTCATAACCTGGTCTTTGAATCATGATGGTAAGAACCATCAATTCTTTTATAGTACTTCGTGGGTCTACATTAAATACTATTTTATGGGTTACTGCAATAGTCTTAACAGTCCATATATAATAACAAGGATTTCTTTTGTCTGTATTCTAAATTTCATATAAAAAATTTGTGAATAATTGTGGGAACTTTGTAACTCAGGATGAAGATTTCAGTTTGGTTTAACTGATTTGTTCAGCAGTGTTCTGTCCTACACTGTAGTTGCTGCCAGAAGTTATTTGGGTAGAGTTGTTTCCCTTCGTAACTTTGTGAAAGTTAAAAAATACAGCCCAAGCGTGGCCGTGGAATAAATGGTATTGGTTATTCTGAAGCCAGTGATTAATCCAGTCTTGGCGGAAGGCAAGGGAACCTGTGGAACTACCAGTGTTACTGAAGTTTCTTTTAATTTCTGAACTTTACTGGACCTGAGGGGTGGGAGGCACAAATCCATGTTAGAAACATTAATAATGATATGATGGTTGTACTATTGATGGGAACTCCATAATCAGAGAAGGTGAAAGGTTGATACGTTGATTTTCATACTTCTGTAGAGAGAATGGAGTGCAGTCTTATGGAGTGTTGTGACAACGTGAAAATTGTCTAAATCATACTGCCAGAGTTTAAGAAGAAATAGGAAGAAGCAGCAGATGGGAAGTGCCTAGTTAGGAACATCCTATACATTACACATTTCTATTTTTAAATTCTTAAAGCTGTGAGATATTTGCTCATGATCTATGAACAATTTGCAGATGATGAGGTAGATTATTAAAATGAGCAGTTTCTCTTAAACTTCCGTGCCTCCCACCCAGACAATGTAAAAGTGTACAGGGAAACGTACTGAGAGGTGATTCTTCCTTCAGACCTGTGTGGGATATTTTCAGACGAAAAAAAAAAAAGCAACTTTGGTTTTGGTTGACCTACTCTGACCTGTAATAATATTGCTGCAAATTCTGCTTCTGTTTGCTCTTTTTACAGTGGAAATCTCTGGTTTTCTCTGATGTAATACAGAATGGAGAAAAAAACCTTTTATTTTCTGCTTGTCAGGGGAATGGGTTAATAAAGATATTTGAGTCTGAGGAGAGTGACTTCCATTTTAAAAGTCTCTAAGTCTCTACACTGGTTGCTATTTATTTTTCAGGAACTTGGCTTGAATGTGATGATTTAAAGGGGCCATACTGCAAGAGGCACAAAGGATTTGAAGTTCCTCCTTCAGAGATTCATATTGTTATCTGGGAAAAGAAAATGTCCCATGTGCCAGAAGAACTGAATTCATGGTTCCAGAATAAAAATGTTGAAGATTTTCCTCTTAATAATGTACAGTCAAATTCCACAGTGTTGCACTCTGGGTTTGATAACGCTGTAGACAAAATACCTGCAGACCATCTCAAAGAGGATTCTGTGAGAACTCCAGATAAGAAACAGCAGCAAGTAGCTGAAGATGAAAGTATTGTTCATCACGGTTTAGAAAACATGGCACCTGATGATCTTGTAACACTGATGCTTGAAGAAATTCAAGTTGACTCAGAAGGTAAATTGCTGCCGAATGGACAGATGGTGGGAAATAACCTTGTTCTTGAAATGGGCACACTGCAACAGCAGGAGTCAGCTTTTTCACCTAACACTCCATCTACAGGAGAATTTGCTGGAGCTAGTCTAACTATGAACAATAAATGCATGTTATATGAGAATTCCAGCATTTGCTTACCCGTAGAAGAGTTGAACCCAGCAACTATTACTCCTCCCGTGCCCAAAAAACATGACCCTGACCCATCTGACTCATCACTTGCTCAAAGAACAGATGACAGAACTAATTTACCTAACAGAGAACATGGATTAAATTCAGAACTGCAGCTAAACAAGAAGTTGTCACAGGTAGAGAGTATTACACAAAAATCACCTGACTTGAAAGATGCAAGGAAAACTGTAGTTAATTCTCAGGTTGCCAATTCTTCTGCTGCCAGTAATTCCTTTCAGCAGCCTTCACGCAAAGACCAGAAAAGAGGATTTGTAGGAAGCTGGGTAAAGAAATTATTAAGCAAGAATACTTCTTTTATGCCTTCAAGTGCCTCAGCTCTCAAGAATGAGAGAAGTTCCAAAACTCCCTCCATGCAAAAAATAAGTGAAGTGAGGTTGCCAGTTAAAGGAGCAAGTAACTTTGGTGGATTTCAAAGCAGAGGTATGAACGAAACAACTGGGACCCCAAAGTCAGTGGTTCCTCAGAGTAGTAATACTCATCCTTTATCAAATTTCAAAGGATTTCCTCAAAGCAGGCATACCACTATTGCAGGTCCAACTTTGAATAAGTCAGGAAGTACGTTGGGTACCTTGGGTAAAGTGACTCAGTTCCATTCACCTCACTATAACTCCGGGAAGGCAGAAGAGTCAGACAGTGACAAAACAAAAAAACTTCGCTTAAAACTGCTAAAAAAACTTAATGCTAAAAAGAAGAAGTTGGCTTCATTGGATAGGCTAGCAGTGGAACAAATGAAACATGAAAAACCTGTGAGTGGAGATGTAAGCACCCCGTCACAGGGTGAATCTCACAGTGACAGTGAATTATTGCAGAGCTTTTTAAGAGAACTGCAGCATCAGATTGATGTTGCAGATAATGAATCTGAATTTTGTGCGAACTCTGTGTCTGGGTGCATCAGCCGTAACAACAGTGATGAAATACTGGCGGAATTACTGTCCCCCACTTCAACTGTTGCTTCCTTAGAGGCTCCAAAAAGTGAAGATGAATGTATGTATATGGAGATGGTGGATAGCAGTGTTGCAACGACAGTGTCTGAGGAGAAGACCGCTGTGCCACAGGCAGCAATGACAAGTGAGGAGCACAATTATTACAGTCCTGTGAAGGACAGTAATTCGGAACTTCATACAATAAGCAAACCCAATGTGAAAAAACTTGGTTTTGAAAGTCCTACAAGGGAAGATATCCTTGAAGACCTGTTCTCCATTTCAGCACCAAGCTCAATGGCAGGTGACATAGATTTACCTCATTTTGATGAAACTCTGTTTGAAACTTGGTAAATATTCGGTTTATTTGTTTTAAATATTTTTCAATATTATGTATATTTTGAAACAAAGCACTATTAAATTATATTTTCTAACTAGTTTAATTGCACACTGGCTGTACTTGAACAATTTACCTTTGAGGTATTTTTTTTCTTAAAATTTTATTGTAGCAGACAATTAAGGTTTTAATGCATTTTATTTTTCTGAGAAGCAGTTATTTTAGCTGTCAGATACGATGATGATTTTTAATTAAAAGCTCTTATGAGTCTTAATTTTTGCTGCTTTTATTATGGAAGACTTACCTATATTCTCCTGAGTTTGTGGAATAATAAACTTCAGTGGTCTTGATGACGTAATGGTGTAAGAAGTATTATTTAGGTAGTAGTGATTTATTTTACAGGAGCACCAAGCTCCTGAAATTTTGTCCAACATTTTAAAAAAGTACCTTCTGTAGTCGGGGATGTTTGCATCCTTTGATACAAAGATAAATTTGCAACACTAAACTCGAGGCTGGTAGTCTGTTAGGAGCTCTGATCTTCCCAGAATTGCTGTGCTACAGGCTCATCCTGATGGATACACCCCTTGGATCCATGGTAGAAATTTTCCTGTTTAAAGTTACAGCACGTACTGGGTTTTCATCCTGGGTAACTGAAAACATAATTTGGCAGAATATTCTTCTAAGCTAGGTTATTTTTTTAAGTAAAATTACTGAGATTTGGGACAGAGTTTGAGCGCTAAGAGAGAATCAGATGTAACTTTTAGTTATTCATAGCTGTAAAGTCACTAATAAAATACTTCATAAAAGAATTAAATAGAATAATAAAAATAAAAGAATTGAAGTTAACCGTAATTTAGCACCCATTACGGTTGTCACTAGGAGTTTTTCGTGGCTAGAGCAGCGCACCCCTGTCCGTATGTGATAGTGCCAAGGAGAGGGAAGGTCAGTAGGAGGAAAGGAATGGAAAATGTGGGTAGACAGAGGGATTCACATCTTGGTGTTTCTGGATTTGTATAGCTTTTGTTTTGCTAGATGGGAGTCTTTTTTAAATTCATAGGCACAGAGCTGAGGGTATTATAAGCTAAATGAGCTGTACATTTTTCTTGTGCTCGGAAATGACAAGGATTTTATCAGCACGCCTTTGATTCAGCCATTTTTAGAGGTATTCTGCATTTTTTCTTTGTTCTGCATCCCAAGTTCAAAACATTTAAGTCCTCAGTCTTACTTTTCCAGTAAGGGCAGTTGAACATAATTGTTACTACAGTATGGCTACAGATTTAAATGGTCTTATATTGCTTGAACCAGGTTCCAAAAATGTTTGCAAAACTATCAGTGGCGCTGGACTCACCTTTCCAAGCTATTTCTGTTGCGATTACGTACATGTTTTTCAAACTGGTACTTCAGACAGTTGATGGTTTCAGTCTTGAAATGGAAGTCTTTGTAAAGAACTTGAACTCCTTCTTTGTTTTAAATGTTGTGATTGGTAATGCTATGATAGAAGACAAATCAGTGGGTTCTGAATGTAAAGTGCTGGTGTACTGCTGGTGAAATGTTTGCCTGTTTGTGAATTCCCTTATTAAAAAAAAAAATGCTGACCAAAACGAGAGTTTGATTTATCAGTGAATAAAATTGGTGCCTCTGCAAGACTTGAGGGGGGTGATAGGATTTTCCTGCGGAGTTTTCCAGCTTGTGGTTTCTATATATGCAAACCGCTGAAAAGTGGTCTGTCTTCCCAACCCCAGCTACTTGTTGCAGAGGTTTCCCCAAGCAGTGGGGAGCTGCTCTCAGGTGTAGATACCACCTGTGACCAACTGGATTGCAGCTACCTGCAGCTGTGAAGTGGGAACTCCTTCACCACTGTCCCTGGAGGTGACACTGACCGCAGGGTGAGTGATGCAGCCAGCCTGGGGCCGGCGTGATGCAGAATGCGTAAGGCCATGTGAGGAAGAGACCCCCACTAGAAGAGGGAAAGTCCTGGTGGAAAGGATTATAATCAGGTTAATAGCAGGGAAGGGTGTGGGGGCACATCTGCTGTGCATGTTGCCTAGATAGAAGCAAGAATCTCTGGTCACCACTGGCAGCACCTCAGCAAACAGATGTTAGGAGTCCTCGGTTTGCAGCTGTGTGTGATACAGTGTGGGTACAAATGTACAGAAGCTCCAAGAGCAAATAAATAGCACTTGAGATTCAAGTATGAAGCTAAATCTGGTAGTGCTGCAAGTTCTTCGCTGCCTTTTTTCTGAAATAGTTAACTGAAGATGATGCTGTGCAGATTTGTCTGTTTCCATAAATGTTTTACTGCCTCTGATCCTGCGCAAGTGAGCATTCAGCTGAGATTGAAACCCGTGACCAAAGAAACCATTTGGAATTTGGTGGCTACTAGACTTTCTGTTTCGAGACTAGTTTTAAAATGCAGCTTTTTATTTGCCATAAAGAGAATTTAAAGTATTGTATTAGTCTTCTGTCAACTAAAACGCGTGAGGTGGGCATATAGCAAATACGATTAGTGAGCAGAAGTTAGTCATTGTATTTTTGAGGTTTTATCAGTGCTACAGGATAAATCTCCAAAAGTAATGGCTTTGAGCACGCAAAGGGATTATATTTTACATGTTTTTTCACCTCTTGCATCACATAATCTTGTCAGTCTGTATCTTCTGGTTTGGGAAAGGCACAGCTGTGGCACTTAGATTTACAGCTTTTGGTTCAGGATCAGCTCTACAGTGGAGGTAGCACTCTGATTCACATCTTACTACTTCATGATACATTCAAGCATTTTTTATCAAAGAGTACAGGGACAAAAAAGGACCGCCTTCTCACATCCTGCCTACAATAACCAGCCCATCTGCAAAGGAGCTGCCTAGATGGATTTTTAGCTGGAGCACTGTTCTAGAAATTCACTGTGGTGCTGATTACAAATCTGACTTTGATCCTGATGTTTTTCATGGCTGGCTGTTGCCATTTATTCTTCTTCCAGCATTGGTTTTTGCTTTAAATAATTATTCCCTTCCTGACAATGTATCAATGAGAGTGGTTGTGTCTTGCCTGTGTTCCTTTTGCAAAGCTAAACAGCTGCTGTTCTCCGTGTGAGCCCCTTCGTGCTCGGAGCAAAGCGTGTTACCTTCTGAGCAGATTATGCAGCTCTAAGTGGGTGCAGTGCTTTAAAGTCCGCCAGGATTCAGTCTCGGAGTGGAAGAGCTAAGCATAGACCTGAGGCAGCGTGCAGACAGAGCAAGGAAGAGAGTAAGGTTAACGGGATTACAAGGCTGGTGAAGTTTGCAACGTGCTTAGTTTTGCCCTGTGCACCAACGCAGTGGAGTTGTTTACGAGAGAGGTGCTGAAGCTGCACAGTGCTGGAGAACACGGTGGAGCCATGGGGCTCACAAAGGAGAGTGAATGCTGGGGAAGGAGTGTAAAGAAGGCGGCCTGGCCTACCTGTTGGGGGCTGGGTGCCTCCAGCTTACCTTTGCTAGAGGGAGGCTGAGGAAACCCTCACGACAGGGTCTATATCACTCTTTCCTGTAAATTACTACCCAAAGGGGTTTCTATGATGCCCAACCCAGAGTTTGGGCTAGCTGTAATCCTGTCCGATTTAGAAACAGGGCAGGTAGGCAACATGTTAAAATGACCCGTGAGCTGGAAGGCTTGGCAATACCCTGGGAAACCCGCCATGGACATGTCTGGTAAGGAAGCATCTCCGCTTTCGATGCTAGCAAAATGAACTTTGGTCCTGGCGACTGGTCCTGTTGTGGAAACTTTCACTGTCAGTGCCAGAGAGGGAGAGAGCTGAAGAGTAGGAAAGCCCCAGATTATTTCATGTCACACTGCTAGTGGACTGTGTGTTCCACTTCTTTGGCTTAGAGAGAGGATGGCCTGTAATTTTTATGTATGAAATATGTATTTGAGCTTTTAAGCAGTGTTTTACAGTTCTTCCATGCTGTAACTCTTTTGTGTAGGTGTTTTTATTTTTTAGTATCCATATTTTTGCTGGCTTGCACTTTCTGGTTGTGTAGCAGAGCAAGTGATTTAAGTAATGGGGAAAGCTCTGAGAAAGAAGTTGCGCATTTGAATGTTCTAAGATAGCATTTTAAGCTATTTCAGTGAATATTTTTTCTTCTTCCATCTACCTTCAAGCCTTGCTTTGCCAGGGGAAGATGAGATTTTTTTTTAAATGCTTGGTGCTGCAGCACCATGGGTATTACAATCAACTGGCATTATGTCCAGCCAAAACATCACCTACACCTATGAGCGTTCAGGGGTAAGCAGTGAAAATGCTGTCATTTGGTGGTGGAATTGTGCTACTTTTGAAGTTTTTGTCCAAAGTTTTCTAATGATGTTCGGACCACTTCAGCTCAGGCTCCTTTCTCCTTCTCTGTGTCCCCCTTCCAAGCAGATAGGGCAAAAGCCTGTTTGCAGAGGGGATGCTTGTGCGAGGCAATGAGCCAAGTCTTCAAAATAATCCCCCAGCCCCCACTTTAAGCGAGCGATGGGGAAATGTGACATCCGGGCGGCGAATGGAGGAGGGGTGGAAAAAATGGGTGTTTCCGCCCGGTTTCGAACCGGGGACCTTTCGCGTGTTAGGCGAACGTGATAACCACTACACTACGGAAACCCCCGTGGTGGCTGTTTGTCTTGCAGCTCCCCTTGAGGGGGCGCACGGAGGCTCAAACTCCCATTTCGGCCTCGCGTTCGCGGCGCAGAACGAGGCCTCGGGGCTGACACCGGGTGTCCGGCAGCTCCCAGCGACAAAAAGGCCGCGCAGGCCGGACCCGGCCCCGGAGAGGGGGGAAAAAAAGACCCCGGCAGAGAAAAAGTTGTGACTCGTCCCTGGGTGGGCTCGAACCACCAACCTTTCGGTTAACAGCCGAACGCGCTAACCGATTGCGCCACAGAGACGACCCAGGTGGCGAGTGTTCGCAGCGATTTTTTCCCCGCGGCGGCGGAGGCGGCGGTCTGCCCGCGCCCCCCCGGAGGTCCCTCTGTCACGCGCCCCGGGGAGTTTCGCCTTGTGTTCCCGACGCCAGTCCTGCAGCTCTTGGGGTGTGTGGAGAGTGTTGGGGTTCATGACCACCAGCTTTGGTGCCTCTTTGCTTTTTTAATCTGAAAAATATTCCTTCCCTTTTTTTTTCCTCTGTTGTTTCTGTGGCCTTTCCCATGGGACCAAGGGAGAGGGAAA